CCCCCCCTTCCAGACAATCGTACAGGACACGTACACGTCATCCCTATCAACAACGTCACTCACTCAGAAAATAAGCGCGGCATACTCAACGTCACCCACACAGAAAATAAGCGCGGCAGGCATACTCAATACTCACGCTAAAACGTTATCGATCTGCATCAAAAGTCTGGTGACGTCGTCAATATCTGAAGCGTCCGTCACCTGCAGGTGCACCAGAGAGAGCACCAGGACCAGAGAGCCAGCCACCAGCACTGTTGAACGCACCATTTTTGGTCTTTGAAGTAGATGGATGATGCGACCACGGAGAGGGGGGAGAGTTAGTCCTCCGTAGTTTTCTTCTTTTTGATGGGTTTTGGGGTTGTTGTTGTTGTCTTTGTAAAAGTGCGCGTCTTTTCGTCAGAGCGCGTACTTTTTTTTTTCTTTCCTCTTTCTCTTTCCCTTGACGATGCACGATATTCTTCTGGGTTGTTCTATTTTGTTTCTCGTTTCTTGTCTATGTATTTCTAAAAATTTATTTACTTATTTATTTATGTATTTGTTTATTTGTTCTCGTGTTGATTCGTACTTCTTTTTTTTTCTTCTTTTCGAGCAATTGTTCTTCTTTTTCCTTTTCCGTTTCTGTAGTTCAGGTTGTTGAGTATTGGGGAATGTTGCTCACAGATACGTTGAGGAATTCTGTAGTTATAAAAAAAATGATATTATAAGCCGACAATATAAGCAAATAATCCTGAGATATGGTCGAAAATATTGCAGTCACAACCTTTTAAAAAATCAACCCAAGAGAGGTTATTTTGATTATACTGTAGCCTAGAGAATCTGCCTCATAGAAATAAATCATCGTCATTAAGAAAAGTTCCGTCAAAGCGATAGATTAGTTCTCAGATACGTTGGGTTTTTCCTTCTCACAATAAGAAACGTAGTTTGTTTTTCGGAATGTTCCTGATGGTGGTGTTGTTGTTGTTGTTGTTGTTGTTGTTGTTGTTGTTGTTGTTGTTGTTTTGGTCGTGAACTCTAAGGTCTGATCTCCGAGACGTCAGTGGGTTTGGGGTTTTTTTTGCGTAGCTGTACTATGTTTTGACTGGAGTTGAAGATGGTCGGTCGGTCACTCCGTAGTAAACTCCTCACCAGCTGTGAAAAGAAAGCAGACCAGAAGCGGTGGTATTAGTTCCTCGATTTCTCGAGAGGAAACCTTAGTATTCCTTTCAGTCAGCTTTTCGCTACGTCTTTCTTTCATCTTTCTGTCTCTTCCTCTTTGCCTCTGTCTCTGTCTGTCTAGGTCTCTGTCTCTATATCTGCAACTTCTCTCTCACTCTCCGTCTTTCATTCTCTCTTCAACTTCCCCATCTCTCTCTCTCTCTCTCTCTCTCTCTCT